GAAAAACTATAAACACAAAAGACAAGTTCATGAAATCAGTTTCATTCTGTCATTTAAGAACAAAAGCAGCCCGCAAATTAGTAAGCAATAGAGGACAGCAATATCAGTGTTACAATCGCAAATTGAGAATATACCTGATGGTATGAGATATTCGACTCCTTTGACTCAGGTGCCGGTGGAATATTATAAGAGAAAGGTGCTCCAAATGGTATTCCTCCTTTGGGATCGTGCGGATGCCCGCCTACACTAAAACCAGGTGACGGATCTTGAGGCGGCAAATTCTGCAAAATACGCCCATCAGCTCATATCAAACAGCTTACCACACTCACCGGATAATTAAAAGGCGCTGCCGGAAGAGAGGGCGGCGTAGGATACGTGGGATATCCAATAAATCCGGCAGGCTGTGGATCTCCCAAGTTGTTCCGGTCGCTTAGGTCAATCAAAATTCCATTAGCTACAATGGGATGAGAAAAATTGGACCTTATAAACGCTACCAACCTTCCTCCTGCATGACTTGTGGATCCGGCTCGTATGGAATGTTGTAATTCTTGGCTATTTCGATTAAATACTTCTCGACCAGTAGCTTAGGCGGGCTTTGAACTGAAAGTTTATGCTTCAATTTTTCACTAATCGTCTTGACATCCTCTGTCCTGCAGCTCTCACCGTATTGGTGGCCGTATTTTGAAGTGAAGATTTCGGCAATCAACTTCAATTCCTTAAATTAGAAATAGCTATATAGGGTAAATGCACCTAAGTTCAGCCATCTCCAGTTGGCGGCCACCAGTACAAATATTGCCTTGTAATATCCGAAGTATCACTCTTTTTGTAAATTGTATTTTTCCCAATAGTCGGCCACCTATTTAAATTTCGCGCCAGTAACATCTAACAACATAACCACAAAATTGACAGAGTGCGACGCATGTGATTATATGCTTGATGTGTAACGGCTGAATTCAAGGTAAGCACGTATGATTTTGCTTAGATACGACCCATCAGAAAATAGTCTGTAATTAAGAAAATTGTGCATATAACATCACAGTGCTAGTGTTTTGTAATTATATGATAGTTTCTCTTTCCAAATATTTCTCAAAAAATAAAATTGAATAAAGCTGAGTTGGTAAAATAAGACGGCTGAGTATGGGTATTGACTTGATCTGTCCATTCCAGTAATCAGCCAGGTGGCCGACCACTGGGAATTTTGCGGACATTTCGAATATGAACCAAATTGACTGTTGTGATACAGGTGTAGCCTAAAATCTAACTGGTGAACTAAAAATAAAGCAAAAACATTGTAAACCCAATAGTCAGCCACCTCATTGCACAAGCGTGTGGCAATGGCCGACTTCACGCTCCCTCAGTGCCAATACTCATCCGTACAAATTGCCTAGGTAATAATTTGATGATTTATTATTTAGAACAATGGCGCCTTTTAAAAAACGCGAAATACATCAATACTCAGAAGAGGCTTTACGCGATGCTTTGAACGCAATCCGAACTGAAAATTTAGGAATTCGGGAAGCAAGCCGAAGGTTCAGTGTTCCTAGGGGAACATTGCAGGACCGACTGCACGGGCGAGTTAAAGAAGGGCCCCGAAGAATGGGACCGGGCACTATTCTCACTAAAGATGAAGAAGTAGAGCTAGAAGAATGGGTGATTGAATTAGCTAAAAGTGGATTTCCTTTAAAAAAAAATGATTTGTTGAACACAGTGCAACAAATTGTAATAAGCGAAGAACGAAAAAATCCCTTTGTAAACAGCAGACCGGGAAAGAAATGGTATAAACTGTTTCTTCAGAGACATCCTGCGATAGCTCTGCGAGAAGCAGAAGGACTCACTAAAGCCAGAAGTATAATAACCGAGGAAACAATTAGAAAATGGTTTCGTGAATTAACAGCTCATTTAGAAATTTGCAATTCTTTGGATATATTACAAGATCCAACTCGAATTTTTAATGGGGACGAGACAAGTTTTTCAATGTGTCCCAAAACGGGAAAAGTGTTGGCACCCAAAGGATGGAGAGATGTATACGAAATACAAAAAGGCAGCGAAAAGGAGACTATCACAGTACTTTTGTTTTTTTCGGCTGACGGTCAAACTTTACCGCCTATGGTTGTGTTCCCGTTTGTAAGACCCACGAAGGCGGTGGTTGACAGTGTACCTTCAGGGTGGTTTTTGGGCAAATCCGAAAGTGGATGGATGCGATCTGACACCTTCTTTGAATACATAGCTAATGGCCTGGACAAATGGCTTACCTCCAAAGAAATCCGTAGGCCTGTATTACTTTTGGTTGATGGTCATAAGTCGCATTTGTCCAAAGAAATTAGTCAATTTTGCCATGATAATCGTATTATCTTATACGCACTTCCTCCCAATACAACCCATATCATGCAACCGGCTGACGTAAGCGTCTTTAAACCTCTGAAGCAGGAATGGAAAAACACTGTCAGGGAGTGGCAAAGGAAATCAGAAAACACTAACTGTGTCTTAACGAAAACTACGTTTTGTCCTCTACTAAAGCAAGTGCTAACAAAACAAAACTTACTAGACATAATTAAAAACGGATTCAGAAAGTGCGGATTGTTTCCGTTTAACGCCGATGCGGTGGATTTTAAAAAGTGCGTACAAAATAGATTAGAACACATGCAAGATGTAGGGTATATGCAAAAAAATCCAAATGTTGGGATGACGGCACAAGATTTAAGGCTAACTCGCGAAGTTTTGATAAGTTTGAAAGAGACTCTTTTTAACAGAGGAATTGCAAATGTTGAACAGATTGTTGAGGAACTTCATGCCATAGAAGTGGAATACGAGCCAGCAAATCAAAGTCAGAGTTATGAAGTACAACCGGATGGTGTTCTTCAACCTATCTCTCCTATAGAACTGAACCGTCAAACGGCAGATGTTATAACATTTGATTTTAATGAATATATTGGTGAAAATGAATTTGAAACTGTTGTTACTGAGGTATTCTCCCATGCAAATGCTACTAATAATGAACTTGAAGAAAGAACAGGTCGAATTGAAGGAAATGAAAATGGAGCAGACCCAAATGAAAATAGTAGTGAACCAAATAAAGCCGTCGCAATAACGTTGGAAATAGAACCGAATGAATCCCCTAATGTAACATTGAGTGGAACAGAAACCGATGAAAATAGGAGTAAAGCAAACCAAGACGCAGTAGCAAAGAAGATTATTACACTAAGAGGAACAGAACGAAATCAAGACCTAGAAACGAGGGACATAGTTACATTGAGTGAAACAGAACCACATGAAAGTAAGAATGACCGAAATCAAGATCTTGTTCATAGACAGGAAATAAAACCAAACACAAATGAAACTAATATACTGAAAAATGCAGACACAGAAGCTGAAGACCAAAAAAATAAGATCGTAGTGTTGCAAAATATTGTTATTAATAAATCCAACATCGAACCAGAAAATAATTTTAATGTCGATAATAGTAGCACTACTGAAAAACAAAAAACCACATCCATCAAACATCATTTATTTTTCCCTGGTCCAATAGATGCAAAACAAAAAAGAAGAAAAACTGATAGACTCCCAGCCGCAATTTCATCAGAGCAGTTTAGAATGTATTTACAGCAGAAACAAGATGAAAAAGAAAATTCTGAAAAGGAAAAGGCTAAAAGAAAGGAAGAAAGAGTTAAGAAAGCTAAAGAAAGATTACAGCAAAAATCGTTGAACAAAAAGCAAAAAGCTAAAAAAACCAATGAGAGTAATGACAACCTACAAACCTATCATATAAAGGACAACGGTGAGAACCCAACCTCAACAAAGCGAAAAGAACAGTGTGCTACTTGCGACTTACTTCTAGACAGTGATACAGAAGACAATGACATGAAAAACGTGGGATGTGATAAGTGCCCCAAGTGGTATCACTTGAAATGCACAAAATTTCAAGGGTGTAAATATATTGACATTCAAGATGCAGAATTTGTTTGTACCTTTTGTACAGGCTAAAATAATATTTTGTGGATAGTGTATTCTTAAATGTTATATACCTACTAATTTTTGTTATTATTAAAGTCGCATATTAATATCTACCCACCTAGATACCTACCTACCTATAGTTTTATTGTTCCAAATGCAACTGGGCTGACTACTGGAGCAGGGATGGCTGTACTAAAGTTTTTAATGGCTGACCACTGGTGTTTTTGGCTTCGCTTTGAAATATAGTTTACTAATATTTTATATCGCCATATAGTGCTTAATCGGTATTTTTGGAACCAAATACAATTACTACTAATACCACAACAGTTATTCACATTCATATGATGTAAAGCTGACTATTTTTAATATATTTGTGAAGTAATATCTATGCCTAAGTGGCCGACTACTGGAGACCTTACTCTCAAATTAAAAAACGAATGCAAGCACGTTTTAGCACAAGTAACGTAAATTATTAACATAATCAACCTAACACAAATAGATGGACCTGATTTAGCTTTTAATATACTTATCTTTATACCATAAATGATAAAAATCCTCTATTTTGATGTTATTAACAAGATAGATTCGTAAAAATCTATACATCCCTATTTAAAGATGACTCCAAATGTGCAATTATTGCTCGAAATAGTTTTCGGTGGTGATTTCTATGCTATTGAACTAATCGGGTGTTATAAGAAGTCCGGTACGCCCCATTTCCGCAATACATACTGCATTTTTGTAATTACCGAGCCCGCAGTGAAGTACTCAAAAACGTCTCTGAAACATAAGCAAATTACTATAGTAAAAATGCGACCACAAATTTGACATATTTCTATAACATGATAAATCGTTATTTCTCTACATATAAATACATGTTACGTAAGAGTTTGTGACAAGCATCGGTATAGAATAAAACAAAAACTAACTGCATTGAAAAATTCAATATAAGCGTAAAATGCCGTTTCCTCTGGACTTTTCAATAATGGAGTAAACGTGCAGGAATTCTAAGCAGCCATGATCCCCTAAGAGATGATGCTGTAAAAGCATAGTGACAAACGAGGTCCAACAACAACACGTTGCGACAACGTAATATGTTTACCTGCACCCTCGTCTGCCCCGTAATTTATAGTGTACTGCGGTTGCCTTTGTGCTGCAATAGTTCGAAGAAGTCATCTCGTTACACGTTTCCTTAGTTGAAAGGTTACGTGATAGTTGAGGTTTTAATTAAAAGCGCGTGTACCTACCTCTTCAATATCAGCGGAGAAACGCTTGAATAAAACGTGTCAACGTATTTTCGAACGTTTTCCTTCCGAATTGTTTTCACCCATCTTCTATTTTCCCCAATAACTGTAGACGTGTACGACAGGAATAGGGAAGGGAAATAAAGGACAAGTTAACTCAATTTATCAACACCTGTCAACGTTCCCGGAAACTAGACAAATAGCTTTGTTTTACCAAAGCCTCACACGCGATTTAAAACTTATTCAAAAGCTCTCCAAAACGATTAATTGGCGGAATGCATTATTTTTGAATATAATAAGAGTGTCTCTCTCTAAAGTGCCGTGTGATTAAACGCAGCTGCCATATCCGTTAGGATTCTCATTTTCATTTGCTATGCTTGTGTATAATATCACTACATTAATGTATTTCGGGGCGGTTACCCTCTCAAGCTTAACTTTTGTATTTGCTCTGCCACAAGTAAGAAATTATTCAGTATACTAGTTGGTATCTTATAGCAGAAGTCTATCATGAAAATGCGCCGGAAATCGT